GATCGCGTGTGCACCGAGGGCGGCGTCAGCGCCGAGCACGTGCGCTGCCTGCATCAGATGGTCCCGGGTGTCGTTCACATGCACATCGAGACGCTCGAGGCGGTCCACAGGGAGAGCAAGAGACTGCCGCCGATACAAAAGCCCAAGATCCTGACGCCAAACATGCTGCCCGGCGAGGAGGTGATAATGGACGGCTTGCGCGTCTACCTGCTGCCGGACGGCAGGGAGGAGAGCTCCTCGGGGCTGCCCAAGATACCGCCTCTCTTGCCAGCCGAGGGTGCGATCTTCCTCACTAATTACAGGATAGTGTTCAAGGGTATACCCTGCGACCCGTTCGCCTGCGAGCAATTGGTCGTCCGTGCTTTCCCCGTCACGTCCTTGACCAAGGAAAAGCGTGTCGCTGTGCAACATCTGGCGCACTTGGACCAGTGCCTACAAGAGGGCCTGCAGTTACGTTCCTGCACGTTCCAGCTGATCAAATTGGCCTTCGACGAGGAGGTGACGCCCGAGAATATCGACACCCTGAGGAAATTGGTGCACAAAGCTAGATATCCGCCGCACATCTTCCATCATTTCGCGTTCAACGGCCAGGTCCTGGTCACGCAGACGGCTCATCACAAGGGCAAGGAGAAGAACGCCACCTTGAAAGGGTTCGCGAAGAAGACGCTGCTCAAGACCGCGCGCAAGGCCGGCTTCAAGCCGAAACAATCGTCGAAACGGCAAAAGTACGTGCTGCCGAATATGAATCTCATCAACAGCAACAACAAGTACATGACGTCGCCCGGCCGGATGAGCCTGCCGATGACCGACGGCAACGATCTCAGCCACGACGACGATCTCAGCGTGGACGATTTCGAGATACCCGGCGTGGTGACGCAACCGCCGACCGACGCCAAGACCCTCGAGCGCCTGTCGGAGCGTAGCTACGTCCGGGATTGGTACCGACTGGGCCTCTATTCGAACGGGCCGCACAACAATCGTCGCAACGAGCCCTTCCGACTGACCTCGGTGAACTGCGCCTACATGATTTGCCGCAGCTATCCCGCGCTCCTGATCGTGCCGACCTGCGTGTCGGACGAGAGCATTCGGCGATTCTGCAGGCTTCATCGTCACAGCAGAGTGCCGGTTGTCACCTGGAGACACCCGCGGACAAAAGCGTTGCTGATCAGGGGCGCGGGTTATCACGGGAAAGGCGTGATGGGCATGCTCAAGGCCCACCCGACCTCCGGCAGTAATCTAAAGACCACGTCGTCCTCGGAGACCACCTCCTCTCTCGAGCAAGAGAAATACATGATGGCGCTCGTCGCCGCGACACCGCTCTCCGTGCTGCGCCAGGGCTCCGCCTGGGGTATGTCCGACAGCTCTCTGAGCATAGACTCGCTGTTACTGGCGGCGGAGGATCGTAACGCCACGCCTGAGCAATCGCGCCGCAATCCATTCAACAAGCCTCTCGGCACTCTCAGCTCGTCGGGCGGCAAAGGCCCGAAGAATTTCGGCAGATGGGGTTCGCTCAAGGACAAGAGACACAACTCGCAGGCCTCTTTGACCTCCGTTCATCACCAGCAGCAGCGCGGCACCGTCAGACATTCCGCGGATTCCGACAGCGGCACGGAATGCGTTCACACCTTTCAACGCGCCGCTCTCTACATTCTCGGCGAAAAGGCGCACATGAAAGGCGTCAAGGCAGAATCCACCCCCAAGACGGACTTCATTCCGGTGGAATATCACGACGTGAGGCACACGAAAGCCGCGTTTAAGAAGCTGATGCGAGCGTGCGTGCCTAGCTCGCCGAATGTGGAACCCGATCAGAGCTTCTACAGGCTGATCGAGAGCTCGGAGTGGTTGCAGCAATTGCAGAGCCTGATGCAATTGGCGGGGGCAGTCATAGACCTCATGGACATGCAGGGCTCGTCGGTGGCTGTTTGTCTGGAGGACGGTTGGGACACCACGACCACGGTTTGCTCCGTCGCGCAGGTGTGTCTCGATCCGCATTACCGAACGATCGACGGCTTCAGGACCTTGATCGAAAAGGAGTGGCTTGGATTCGGCCACAGATTCGGCCACAGGAGCAATCTCGCCGCGAATTCGCAAACGACAAACTTCACACCTACCTTTCTACAGTTCCTCGACATAGTGCATCAGATACAGAAGCAATTTCCACTGGCCTTCGAGTTCAACGAATACTATTTGAAGTTCTTAGCTTATCACTCGGTGTCCTGCCGCTTTCGTACATTTCTGTTGGACTGCGAGTTCGATCGAGTCGAGTGCGGTATCACCGCGATAGAGGACAAGAGAGGTTCCTTGACGAGTCATCACAAGGGCGTGGACACCGGCAGCGACGACGATACGATCTATCCTGGCGGTAGACTAGCGGGAACAAACAAACAGACGCTTGGCTGCAATCTCGGCCAAAGTATATTCGATTACATAGAGAAGCAACACGCGAGATGCCCATTGTTTTACAATTTTATGTACACACCCAACACGGAAAATCCCGTTTTGCGACCAGTCTCGCATCTGCCCAGCCTAGATATCTGGCAGTTTTACCTGGAAGAAGAACTGGCGCACGGTCCAGCGTACGACCTGGAAGTGCTGCAGCAGGATTCCCAGCAGGAGGAAGAGGCCGAGGCTGCGGATGGTGTGGTCAAGAGCAATCGCAAAGTCGTCACTCAGGGGTGATTATTTTTATGCGTACAGCGCATCTAGCGCTCGCGAAATTACACATTATCTTTTCCAGATACGACGGGGTCAGCGCAATGGTACCCGACCAGTTCTTGCACCTTTTAGAAGAGATTCACAAGTTGGAGACCGAATTGGGACATTTACCGCAAAAGTGGAAAGTACTCTGGGACAAACTCGAGTTGCCAAACACCGATTCCCTCGCTGTAAGTCGCAACGGAATATCCGTACGAGAGATTCTTTATGCCAAGTTATTTCTAAGTTATATTTTGTTTCTTCGGAATGTTGAAATATTTTCTTTGCTCTTTTTAACGCACACTAAATCATGAGAATGCTTCAGTTGCGAAAATTTACTCGCAATTAGAGGAAAGTCCTATATTATGAGATAGCAAGTTTTCGACACCCAAAATCTTTTTTTCGCAACGATTACACAATCTAACAATGAACAATGAACTTTCCACTAAACAGATTTCGCTCCAAGGGCAATAAATTCATGGTGGAATCAACTGATGATGCCTATTAATTTAACAGGAATCCCGCTATCCCGTATTAGGATTCTCTCTCTCTCATAATAGGGAACTTTCCTCTACTAATTTTATTATATATTAATATGATTAAAGAGCAATGGTAAACACCATTGCTATTGGATCATTTTATATTGACACAGCCACGTCTAAAAAATGAACATACAAAGTATTTGATTAAATTTATTTCGACGTGTTGAAGGTACCTTGATATTTTGTTATACGTCCGGCATAATTTCAATTATTGTGAAGCCATGTAATCGCGATCGATTTTCTCTTTTTCTAGCGGCACGCGTCGTTCAGCACCGCACTCGTACGGTATCACGGTCGGTTGATTCATAAACGTTCTACTTTAGAATTGTTATTGCGCGGCAAACTTGCCGGTGGCAGTACTACCGGAAACGAAGGTTCTGTTTATGCACATCCGCACAGGTAACGTCAATGTCGATCTCTACAATTCGATCAAATTGAACATATCGTGAATGCGAACGTTTGCCAAAGGTTCGAACGATTGGATTCCGCGACGCCGACTCACTGCGACGCGTGTTCCGGTGTGTTGTGGGGTCCTGTGAAGGCTGGGTTGAGATGCATCGATTGCGGTCACGTGTGTCACGACAAGTGCGCGGATGCTGTGCCAAAGAATTGCACAAAATATAAGGCTGTGACGGATAATCTTCAGACTCACACACTGACGAGAAGTGGCGGCGACAACGGAAGCGTAAATTCAAGTATGCGCTCATTTCGTATATTCAAATGAATAATTAAACATATGATGCAACAATTGTTTGCAACCATTGACTTGAGTCACCACTATTTCGCTACTTTTGTACAACGCGAGCTCTTTCTTGTAGGTGTAACAACTATACAAACATCTTCCCAGCAATATTATGAACAATTTTCGAGTAACGTGGCAGAAAATAGGACGCACGAAGGTTATCTTTATAAACGAGGAGCTTTATTAAAGGGCTGGAAACAGAGGTGGTTCGTACTAGATTCTATAAAACATCAACTTAGATATTACGACGCGGTAGAGGACTCACATTGCAAAGGATATATAGGTACGTAATTGAGCTAAAAAATATAAATAATGCAAGAGAAAAGTGTAAAAGTAAGACTAGGTGTGTCATTGCAAAATCACGTATTACAGATTTGGCTGAGGTGGTATCTGTTACTCCAGCTGCGCCAATGCCCGGGCCACCAAAGAAAACGGACGATAAATCCTTCTTCGACGTGAGTACACGTCCAGCTTGATGGAAAATACACGTGGTTTAAATACAAGAAAAACAAATTTATAAGTGTATTAACTTTTCAATTGTCATATTATCATGATGGAATTATTGTTTTTACAGCTTCGTACAAACAGACGAACATACAACTTTTGCGCCGCCGACGCAACTACAGCGCAGGAATGGATCGAAAAGGTTCAAGCGTGCTTACAATAAGGTCACAGCGCTTGGATTATAGTAACTAATTTGAAATTCTGGATGTGACTGACATAGAAAAGAAAAAAAACAGATTTTAATTTTGTTACATAATCTTTGTATAGTCTAATTGTAATACGTCATAGACTGCAGTAATCTTGCTTTAAGTATTTTAAAACGCAAACTCTCGTTGGACTGAAAATTAGTATCATAAATTAAATGTGATACATCCATATCCTCAATATAAGATTAGTATGTGAATATAATGTACATTTTTTGTGATTATATCGTTATATTAAATTTATATTCATTCAGCTGGAAGATGAGAGATCACTATATAATGCGTCGCGCCTAAACATTTTTTTTATTTTGTTTAATGTATTTTCTAATGTTAAATTATGATGGATTATAAGACGAATACAGCTCATATGTAATAAATTGTGCGCTGAAATTATCCATTGAAATGTATAGCATGTCACAAAATTATCAGTTTCCGATTACCTCTTACGATCTGTTCTTTGAGCAACTTGAGATCAAGTTTTTCTTAGAAACAGCATGGATTATACACGACTAAAAATAAATGATTGCTAATTGCCAATTATCTCTTAACAGCACAAATAAACGTATACTGTTCTTTAAATTTCTTCCTCAACAAAAGATTTAAATTTGGATTGTGTTGTATTGTCAAAATGGCTAATATTCAATATTTCAAATACTGAAAAATTGAGTTTAATTTTAATTAGAAAAAAGAAAAAATTAATTTTTTAAGATCTCATTATCTTTTATAAAACGGATGAGTATCGATTAACCTGGGACATACTGTGTATGTGTATATACATATATATAAAAAATTGCATTCAATACCATTGTAATTATTACTTGATAAGTTTCAAACTTGTTTGTTAAGTTCAAAGCTTATGTGAGAAAGACACTCTATCTCGAAATATGTTAAGAATATTTGATTAATACTCCTATGCTGACAGTAAAATTACATTAAGAATATATTTGGAGAGTATTTTTTATTATAGTTTGGAAAGTTTTGTACTTTAAAAACAAAAGCGATAACTTTATATTTATATATATTAATCAATATATATACTCGTATACCTAATACTTTGGAGATTTTATACAATTTTACATCATATATACGTTATTCACTAAAATCCTCTTCGTCACTAAAATAGTTGTTCTTTTTATAACGTTTCTTTGGTACAGTCAAAATTTCTTTTCTATCGTGTTTGTCTGTTTCTCTATGATCCCTTTCAAACAGTCTTTGCTGAAATGTGAAAACATGAGTAGAAATTGTATTATATGTTTTCGCTGTATAAAAATTAACTTGCTCATTCTTCTCTTTTCATGTTTTAGTTACAGATTGAAAAATTGTGATTATACCTCAAATGCAATAACGGCACTTAATGTTTCCGGCTCCTCTTCCGTGTCATCATCGACGTCATCGATTGTGCATTTTGGTTTTTTTATCGCTTCATCACTATCGCTATCAAAATAACTTGGGTCGAACTTTTCTTGTTTGACATTTTTCTTTCGCATCCTAATTCTTTTTCCTGGCGGTTCCCTAGGACCTAACGAGTTGTTGCAGCAGCGATATGACAAATGTCCTGCCTGCCCACATTCGTAGCACTGTGACTTGTCAGGATAATCTCTACGACGTATGAATTCGGTGCTGCGACCATTGTCGACCGCTATTGAACTTTTTAGAGTGCGACCAAGTATCTAGCAATTAAAAAAGGAAATTATTAACAGTATACATATAAATGATCTCTATTGGTGTTAATAAAAATTTTGGTTCAAGTTTCACCTCTCTAAAATTAGAAAAAGGCAAACGGTACAACTTGAATTCCTTATCAGAAGAAATTCAGCACTATATATTGATATATTTGTTTCTGTTTCAGATTTATTCACAAGATTGAGAAATTTTATTAATATTTCAAAACTACCGAAGATGATATTTCTCTTGAATGAATTTTCAAATTACGCAATCACAGAAACGCACACGTTCGATAATGCGTCGTCCCGAGTGCAATAAGCCTGAAGTAGAAAAGTAGGAGTAAGGAACTACATCAATTTTATTTCTTGCTCCTACTTGAGCTGTTAGTTAGCCATCGGCTAGTGTTACAAATATTTTAAATACTATGCCTGTATTTTAGCTTACTTAGACCAAAAGCTAAATAGAAATGACAATTTACCTCCGTATTATCGAGAGCTTTCGCACAGGACACGGCATCTTCCGGTTTAAGAAATAGCACGAAAGCAACGCCGCGACTACGACGAGTTACCCTGTCCTTCAATATTGTTACTCTGTAAATAAACGATATGTAAACTCGACACGATAAATTCGCCAAATGACAATCTCTCGATAAATTACTAGAAAATTACTCACTTGACAATTTTCCCGTAACTTTCCAGCAATTGATGTACGTCATTGTTGGTTAAGGAGAATGGTAAATTTGACACGTAAACAGTCGATTTGCTTGGGGCGATACGACCGTTCATACTGACTAGTTTTATCTTAACTCATAAAAATTACGACCAAATCTCTACTAATCTCTCTTTGGTTCCAAATTTCTCCTTTATCTCCTTTTTTATACGAATCAAGTAGCGAGAAACTTTTCACAACACACGCGATTACGTTGCTAGCCGGGACACTTTGTTGCGCATGCGCACTGCGGCCAGCAGTGACTCTAGGATCCAGGGCGAATAGGTTATAGTTAGGTTAAGTATAATTTAATATTATTAATTTAAACTACATAGTGCAGTTAAAGCTAGTACTAGGTGTTGTGTACGTAGTTTGTTTCTTATTGGTAAAGCACCCTTGATGATACCTTATTTCTTTCAAGTGTGCTACTTGATTGAAACCGCGTTAAAATACGCATGCGCAAGTAAGCGTCTCTGCTTTCAATTTAGGTTAGGATCGGCGGACATCTGATTGGTATAAAATCGAGAGGGTCGTCAA